AGGATCGCAGCCCGATTCGCAACCACTACGCTACCAGAGCTCCTTTGGAAACCCTATACAGGGTCACTATGAGTCAGAACCGACTCGACAGTACTTAACAACAACAAGACATTCTGGTATGGCACTGCTAATTACAAGGTCAGTGGTTCAAACCCACCAGCCAGTCTTTGAAAACCCTATGCAGCAATAAGAAGACATTCAAGTGAAGATGTCAAGTTGGCAAGCCCCTGGGTGAGGGCGCTGCTCTAGGAACCACACTGATAAATGGGCCGAATACCATTAGAGCTCAGCCGGAGGTACAGATTTAGGGGCTGAGTGCATGAAGATGTTATTTGAAGACCCAGACCTTCCTGATATTAGCTGAGGAGACAGAGTAGTTTATGAGAGGAGGGCCCTGAATGGAGTAGGGGTACTTGGGTATTTTAAAGTGGTGGTGTTGTGTGCCACTGAGTCAGTTCTGACATAGAGACACTGTATAGGGTTTCTGAGAGTGGCTGGTACAGTTGAACTGCCAACCTTGAGGTTTACAGTCCAGTGCTTATCCTACAGCACCACACCAGGGCTCATTTTAAGGTGGTAGTTGTTGTTGTTAAGTGCTGTTGAGTTGGTTCCGACTCATAGCAACCTGTGTATGGTTTCCGAGGAGTGGCTGCTGAACTTGAATTGCTGGTCTTGAAGTTCAGGGCATTAACCCACAGCGTCACACATACAGGAAAAGTGAGGAACAAAAAGATGGAAACAGCAATTGGAGAAGTAGGAGGAAAACTAAGAAAGTACAGAGGCAGAAGACAAACAAGGACTGAACTTTAAGAAGAGAGACATTAAATCAGAAGAGACACTACGTTGCCCATAAGCTTGGTTGGGCATCCCTGTGTCTGTGTTGTGGACCCTAGGAGAGTGGGAAGGCTGGGTGCCCTCCCCGATAGATGAGAAGTCACATGGGGAACAGTGAACCACATGCTCTTATGACACAAGGCCTGATGTCTGGCCTTCTGAGTGTGCATGCAAGCGGGCTAAGCATGTGCTTCCCCATCAATACCATAAGGTCCACACTGAGTCTGCCACCCACTCCCTTTCCGCAGGCACACTGGTTGGCCAGAGACTCTCAGACCATCCTGATGTGAGGAAAATTGGGTTTACAGGCTCCACAGAGGTGGGAAAGCACATCATGAAAAGGTACGTGCCTGAGGGAGTGGGGAGAGAAGGCCACAGTTGGCCCTAGAAACTGCCACCTCTGGCTACAGTGTCTAAAAGTGACAGTGGCGTCATGTAATCTAGAACATGCTTCTCAAACTGGAATGTGTGCAGATTCTGTGTGGTGGGGACTGGGATTCTGTATGTCTTATCAGCTCTTGAATGAGCCCTGTGCTGCTGCTCTAGACACCACACCACAACCAACAGGGGTCTGTGCTGCCCAGTGAGGAACCACAAGTCACATTGGGCCACTCAAGACTGTGAGTTGTAAACTGCATACTAGATTTTGAAAGCTTAGAATGAAAAATATGTAAACAATTTCATTAATAATTTTAAGTTGATTACAAGTTGAAAGGATAACTTTTTTATTATATTGAGTTAAATAAAATATATTATTAAAATCCATTTCACCTGTGATTGGGCAACATTAATCTAGAACATAACCTCTCTTATTCCTTGGACTTTGGCCTCAATAAATGGGGTGATGCTTCTGCCTCTGCTATTCATTCAGGATGTAATCTGGGCCAAGTCACCGCCTCCCCAGTCCTCAGTTTCCCCATCAGCTCATTGAAAGTAGTTTGGTGGGTTCTATGGCTCTGCTTTGAAAACCAGAAGAGAGGGAAGGAGCAGGGCAGGTGAGAAGTTCTGCAACTGGTCTTCTCAGAATCCGGGAGACCTGTGTGTGCCCTGAAGTTGGTGCTGGCTGGCTAAAGGAACGTATCTCTGGGGACAGATTGAAATTCATTTCATGCCTGTTGATATGTCCTGAACAAACCTCCAGCTTCTCTCTACAACTGAGATGCCGAGACTTCTAGAACCACTGCAGCTACAATGGTGGCAGTAATTTTGTTGCTGATTTTTCTATCCAGCAACATTTCTTGAACACCAACTGCATCTGAGTTCCTCCCACTCCAGTCCCACTAACCCCTTGTCTCCTTCCAGCTGTGCCCTGAGTAACGTCAAGAAAGTCTCCTTGGAGCTGGGTGGGAAATCACCTCTCATTATCTTTGCTGACTGTGACCTGAACAAGGCTGTGCAGATGGTGAGGCAGGGCCTGGGGGAGGCAGATTGACGGGTGGGGTGGTGCACCTTTCTCTGATTCTACAATACGACCTGGCAAGACCACAGATGTGGCCAAGCCCATAGGGACACCATAAGTTTGAGGAGTAGGAAGGGGGCCCTGAGGAATGATGTGTACTCCTTCAAAAAGGAAGTCCCAAGAAGAAAAGAAACAAAAACAAAAATCCCCAAATCAGCTACAATTCCCAGAACTATAACACATGAGCCATGCCGCTCTGTTCTGAAACAAACACAGTGACTTTTCTTGTTTCATAGCAAAACAAACCAGACCCATCCTAGTGTGCATGAAAGTATCTGCAGCAGTCTTCTGAAGTCCACTCACTTCTGTTTCCAATTCCCTACAGAATGGACAGGGATAGTCAATACTGCCACCCTCTTGCATGGGTATCACATCTGCACCCTGTCATCTCTCATTCCACCATTCAGGGTGAAGGAGGGCCTGCATGGTATCTGCATGCCCAGTGCCAGCAGTGCCTGTCCTGTGGTGGGTGGTCAGCTCACGGTGTGTGTGATTTTCCCTGTAAGAAGGGGTTCTTGAGTCCATGGGGGACCCTAATCCAGTACTGTGCCCCACAGGGGATGAGCTCAGTGTTCTTCAACAAAGGAGAGAATTGCATTGCAGCTGGTCGGCTCTTCGTAGAGGACTCCATTCATGACCAGTTTGTGCAGAAAGTGGTAAGTCTTACCTGCCGCAGGATCTCAGAGCTGCTGGTTCACCTAGAGAGCAGGGGGTGGGGAGGGAGACTGGGCAAGAGCATTTGGGATCCGCACTCTGGAGCAGAGTTCACCAGGATCAGATGACCCTAGGGGAAGTTGTTAAAAGTCTATTATTTCATTAAAAAAAAAAATAGCAACCCAACTCCAATGGTCATAATCAAAAAGGGAATGTTTTAGGTTGGGTCCCTGGACTGAAATTGAGGTGCATGTGCAGGTGAGCTCTCAGGAAGGTGTGTGAGGGTGGGGATGAGGTAGGTGAGATAAGACAAGGAAAAGGGAGAAGCAAGGACATCGGGAGCTCCGAGCCTGACTTATCACTGCAGGAGCATATCCTTGGTCAAGACCCTGTCCTTTGTACCCTTAGTCAGACATTGACTATAGATTGTCACAGGTGGAGGACGAGCACCATTCAGTGGAAGGTAATTCTCCAGAGAAGAATTCCCACAGCAACAGGGGAGGGGGAAACAACCCCACAAGTAAAGGGGACCTGGTTGGTGTAACTAACTGCATCCCCACTGAAGCTGGTAAACCTGGCCTTGGGGACCACGAGTCCTCACCTGTACCCTAGGATGTCCTTAATGTCTCTCTCCCCAGTCTCTCTAGAGGTGGGCTGCATTCTCCCCAGCCAGCCTCAAAACATGGTGGGGCTGTGAGGGCTCTAACTTTGAATTCTTACAGTATAGGACCAGAGCAGGAACAAGTATCTCTACGTACCCTTTCCGAAGAAGCAGTGGCAAAGGATGTAGGTTAGCATCAGTGACACAAGGGAGTGGGGAACTCTGAGCAGAATCTGATCCCAACAGATGCAAGAAGAGCATCAGGAATTATGTGTACTTCGGAGGTCAAGAAAAATAGAGCATTCTGCTGAGTCATCCTGAGGGAGGAAGATGTTAGAAGGAGGGAAGATGGTTTGATGGTGGAGCTTAAATTGTGGGTAAAAGCACAGATGTCAGTGCAGAAAGGAAGGAATTTTCTAGAAGAGAAGGTGACAATGAGCTTTTGCTGTGCAGCAGACTACTCCAAAACTTAGTTGCTTGGAATTTGGTGGTGTTAAGTGCCATCGAGTTGGTTCTGACTCACAGCAACCCTGTATAGGGTTTCCAAGGAGCAACTGAACTGTCAACCTTGTGGTTGGCAATCCAGTGATTTTCTTACAGCACCACACAATAGCAGTTTATTTAGCTCAAAATACTGGGGCTGGCAGTTTGGGCCAGGTACTAGCCTAAGCCCCCTAATCTTGCCTGGGCACCTGCAGTTAGTCATCAGGTACACTGGGGTTGGTGTCAGTTGTTCAGCGGGTGTCGTGATTTCCTTGGACTGCCATAACAAAATAGCACAAAGTGGTGGCTTAAAATTACTTTCTCACAGTTCTAAAAGGTCCACATTCAGAACATCAATCTTACCAGTTCTTCCTGAAGGTTCTGAGAGATGAACATGTCTTTTTCCTAGCTTTGGGTTGTTGTTGTTAGGTACCATCAAGTCAGTATTGACTCATAGTGACTCTGTGTACAACAGAATGAAACACTGCCCAGTCCTGGGCCAACCTCACAATTGTGGCCACACTTGAGCCCACTGATGCTGCCACTTTGCCAATCCATCTCGCTGGGGGTCTTCCTCTTTTTCTCTGACCCTCCACCTTACCAAACATGATACCCCTCTCCAACGACTGATCCCTCCTGACAATATGTCTGAAGTATGAGATGCGAAGTGTGGCCATCCTGGCCTCCAAGGAGCACTCTGGGTGCACTTCTTCCAACACAGATCTGTTTGTTCTTTTGGCAGCCCATGGCACTCTCAATATTCTCCTCCAACACCATAACTCAAAAGCATCAATTCTACGGTCTTCCTTATTCACTGTCCAGCTTTTGCATGCATATGAGGTTATTGAAAATACCATGGCTTGGGTCAGGCGAACCTTAGTCCTCAAGCTGACATCTTTGCTCTTCAACACTTTATAAAGGTCTTTCTTGTGCAGCAGATTTGCCTAATGCAATACATCATTTGATTTATTGACAGCTGCTTACATGAATGTTGATTGTTGATCCAAGAAGAATGAAATCCTTGACAACTTCAATCTTTTCTTCCATTGATAACAATGTTGTTTACTGGTCCAGTGGTGAGGATTTTTGTTTTCTTTACGTTGAGATGTAATCCATACCGAAGGCTGTTGTTTTTGATCTTCATCAGTAAATGTTTCAAGTCCTCTTCACTTTCAGCAAGCAAGGTTGTATCATCTGCATATCACAGGGTGTTAATGAGTCTTTCTCCAATCTTGATGCCACACTTTTCTTCATATAACCCAGCTTCTCAGCATACAGGTTGAATAAGTATGGTGAAGGAATACAGCCTTGTCGCACACCTTTCTTAATTTTAAAACATTCAGTGTTCCCATTTTCTGTTCAAACAACTGCCTCTTGGCCCATGTACAGATTCCTCATGAGCACATTTAAGTGTGCTGGAATACTCATACTTCACAATGTTGTCCATAGCTTGTCATGATCCACACAATCGAAAGCTTTTGCGTAGTCAGTAAAGCATAGGTAAACATCTTTCTGGTGTTCTCTGCTTTCAGCCAAGATCCACTGGACAGCAGCAATGATATCCCTCATTCCACGTCCTTTTCTGAATCTGACTTGAACTTCTGGAAGTTCTCTCTCAATGTATGCCTGCAGACATTTCTGTATTACCTTTAGTAAAACTTTGCTCACATGGGATATCAAAGAGATTGTCTGATGATTTCCGCATTCCATTGGGTCATCTCTCTTTGGAATG